GTGTGATTTGGAGTGTTGGTGCGAGTCACAGGTGAGCATGAGTGTGTGTCTCAGTGTTGTGGCATATGCATGTGTGTGTGTGTGTGTGTGTATGTGTGTGTGTGTGTGTGTCCCATATGGTGCAGTGGTATGTGCAGTCGATTTCCAATCGAGAGGTTGCGGATTCAATTCCCGACGATTATGGTCACACACGTCTTCCTTCTCTTTCTCATTCTCCTAGCTCTTCTTTCATTCTCCTGGGTGGTTACCAACAGCCAGTGTATGCCGGAGTATGTGGTGTGGTGTGTACGTGTGTGTGTCGAAAAAGAAAAGAAAAAGATTAAAAAAATGAAAAATAGGGATTCACTGGCAAGAAAAAGTCACTTCAATCAGCTGTGTGGTGGATACCAGGCTAAAATCAGTGGCGGTCAATTCATCAGCTTTGCAAGCTGTTAAATGTGTAATCCCAGCACAAGTTGCTATGTTTAACGCGATGGGCATATATGTGTGTGTGCGTGCCTGTGCCGAAAGGATGGTGCAATTTTATCACGTATGGTGTAGTTTCGTTCCACTTTGTGTTGCCTGTTATAGGTCCAATTCCACGTGTGTAAAGCGGGATTCACAGAAGCTTTTTTGCGATGCGACACGCGATGCGACGTGATCTGCGACGGACGCGTGCGATGCGAACTCACGAAATACCATTCACAGAAGAAGTCAGTGATGCGACAACGCCTTGCTGACTTGGCGCGAAGTTCAATGCAGGCGGGTATGTCACCATGGTATTCGCGCGGTTTGGTACTACTTGTACAAATTTATAGGCAACTCTTGAACCTTTGTACAACTTTGCTGTAGAAAAGGTCAAAATCGTACGCCGAATCGCTTGTCGCATCGCAAAAGTTGAGCCAAGCTCAACTTCCACGATGGCCCTGTTGCGGCAGTTGCGTGGGGTCCGAGATGACTGCGATTTAGGGATTTCCCGGTTTCGCGGCTGTCGCATCGCGTGTCGCATCGCAAAAAAAGCTTCTGTGAATCCCGCTTAAAGGGGAAGTTAAGGCAAAAATTAAAATTTCACCAGTTGTAGTCTTCGGGGTGCTGAGTCGAATGGTCTTGGTCCGAGAAAGCTGAGACGCTCCCTTCCTACTTGAATCCCAATCGAACTCGCGCACTTCCACCGAAACTGGGTGACTGCGCCCTACGAGATGGGGATTTGTATGCAAAATGTCACTAAAAGCGCCATTTCGTTCTTATAAAAGCACGGATGACCGCGATTGGCCCATATGTTGTAGTCTTTTGGACGCTGAGTCGACTGGTTTTGGTCCGGAAAGGCTGCGATGCAGCGTTCGCCCCTAATTCCCAATCGAACATGGTTGAACAAGCGGTCACGTGCTCCTGCGTACACCAGTCACCTGGTCACCGTGCCTGCAGGGTACAACTTACAGCCTGTTTTGACCTTTTTTGGGTGCAGTCCTGTCACTCGAGTTGAACTCGAGTTGAACCTTGGTGTGAAAGTTGTCGCCTGCTGGCGTGGTGACCAGGTGATTTTGGCACCCAGGAGCACGTGACCGCTTCTTCAACCATGTTCGATTGGGAATAAAGGAGGAACGCTGCATCGCAGCCTTTTCGGACCAAAACCAGTCGACTCAGCGTCCAAAAGACTACAACATATGGGCCAATCGCGGTCATCCGTGCTTTTATAAGAACGAAATGGCGCTTTTAGTGACATTTTGCATACAAATCCCCATCTCGTAGGGCGCAGTCACCCAGTTTCGGTGGAAGTGCGCGAGTTCTATTGGGATTCAAGTAGGAAGGGAGCGTCTCAGCTTTCTCGGACCAAGACCATTCGACTCAGCACCCCGAAGACTACAACTGGTGAAATTTTGATTTTTGCCTTAACTTCCCCTTTAATTTAGGTTTTCCAGGTAATGAAGTGGCTGCAGTGGAGCTTGCGCACATTAAGAAATATTATAAAAACCATTGCTCTCACTTTTGTATCCCCTCCTGTGCTCCTTTCGTAGCATTTGGCGCAAGCCACCGTCAGCATCTCTAAAGTATTCTCTGCATGTATCCACGCACCAGCTCAGCCGTGATTGGCCTCGGCTTTTCCAGACTGAGCACGCCAGGCCTCGCATGGCTTGCGAGTATTTTTCCAGCTGCTCCTTGTCATCGCAGTGCTCTGCCCAGACTCGACTCCACACTTCGCTGTCATCGCCACGTTCAGCAGCCGAGCTGCCGTCCTCTTGACGTGCAGCAGCTCTCAGTTTCTTCCTCAAGCTCTCATGAAGGCCCTTCACAACACCAGCAAGATCTAACTGCAGCGCCTGTGTATCCCTATCGACACCCTCACCTGCTGTTGAGGACATCGTTTATCTATCTCATACTCATAGCTCATTACTAGTACTTGTTTTGAAAGATTCAAAACAAGGGTGCGAAATGCGAAATGAGCGATTATATAGCACAAATAATGTTTTTTCGCATTAATTTTTGGTACGAAAAAATGACGTAATCACCTGTAACAAATTATTAATTTATTATTTGCCGACGCGTCGTCGTCGACGATCCATGGCCCACCGGCCACCGCCCACCGGTGCACCGCCGCTATCACCATGATCACAGTCAGGCAGTCTACATGACTGTATGATGCTCGATCCTGCACCGACCGTTGGATCACCATGCATGATCGATTGATTTCCGAGTCAGCCGTTGCTGTTGTCCATTCAGAAAAAGATGGACTTCTAGCTTTTGGCCATAAATGGGTCAAACTTCGAGTATTTTTAGAATTTTTTCTGCAATCCCCTATGGAATCCTCTTCCAATTATGTTTCTGAAGTTTTTTTCTCCAAAAAGCAAGCCATAACAATAATAGGATTTCGGCCAGGTTTTGCTCCCAAAGCATTGAATTGGGAAAAACCGTGAAAATCCAGACCGTTTGACCCCATCTGCAACAGTGCATTGTGCGGTTCGAACCCCAGTTCAGGTACCCTTTTTGGACCCTTTTTCAAATTTCAAATTTCGCAGCACTGCACTGTGTACGATGAAATCACGAAAAATCGCCAAATACGGGAGCTCGCCAGAGCCAGAGCCCATCTTTTTATGAATGGACTGTAGTGAGTAGTGTAGACCCTGCAGGCGCATACTCAGCTCTCTGTTTACACCCCACCGAAAAAAACGGAGTCTAAATTATGCCGCAACACACGTAACGGGCGTCCATACAAGTGCATGTAGTTAATGCCCGCTTTCTGGTTCTCTTGCCGGCCTTCGACTCAAGGCCCTAGAACTCCAAATGTGGGCATGCACTCTGATTGCAACTGTGTAGCGAAGCAACCAAGCCCGCCATGATCATGTGTCTCGGCATGGTCGCCAATAGTCACCGGCAATTCCCAAGCCGCAACCACTGTTTACCATTATAACATATCGGCGGACACCGTTCGCTATAAGGCCTTCAACAATGAAGTGAGGTGTCTGTACAAGTAGCTTCTTCACATCTGCTCTCCATGATCACATACTTAAAGTTCAAGAAAAGAGTGAGACTGAATGGAAAACTATTATGGAAACCAACCAGTGAGCCCTAGTAGAGCCGGGCTGGCAATGCACATACACTGCCAGTGTGATGAGCTAGCAGCATGTCAAATGTTACAACGCTAAGTTTTACGTGTAAAGCTAACTGCAAAGCTAGCTGTGCTGAAGGAAACATGGCACGGTGTTCATCGAGATCATGACAATGGTTCAAATATTCATGGCTGCTGGCCTTCATAGACTGGCTGTCCCATTCACGCTTACAGCAAACAGTGGTGCGCGTTTAGTTGGTGTGCCATCCTCCAGTGCAATGAGCATGAGCAACGTGCTTCCCACACACTGCATCGACGTCTGGACTCAGTCAGAACGTACGGAATTAGATAGTGAAGAAATCGCCGCTCAATCGCACAGTGTCTCCACTATCCTATGTGCACCGTACGCCCGCACTGCTACACAGTCAAGGCTGACGTGGCAATGAAAAGACAGAACGAATGCATGAAGTTGCAGCAACAAGCCGTGTCACGAATTCTCAGTTTGTACACAATAGGTTCACGGGGCATGGCAGTGAAGAGGGTGGCTCTCTATGACTCAGCCTGACCTGCACCATCGCCCTGACTTTCACCATCGCCCTGACTCGCACCTTCACTCTGCATGGGGTCCGAGAACGACTGGGCCGACGTAATGTCCACGTCCGTTGGCTTGACGTCCAGTTTGCCGGTATCCAAGACGTCCGGCCGCGTCAGCTTAGCACGCTTGCTGAACGTTTTGTGCATCTCCTTGCGTTCGGATTCCAGGTCAGCGGTGTCGGAGATGTCCAGGCTGCCAAGGTCCGCAAGGACTTTGTCTTTAGCACTCACATCTTCCACCTCGATACGTGGCGCAAGGGCCTGTGGTGTAGGTGCGGCGTCTTCATCATCCGATGCTCCGGCAGCCGCCGCAGTTCCGTCCTGGTCTCTCTTGGCCGCTTCCTTGGCTGCCACTCTCTTTGCCTTCTTGATCTTCTTACTCTCTTCGAGCCAGTGCATGTAGGCGTTCTGGAAGGCCTTGGCCACCACATTGACCAATGCTTGTGCTTTCTTGACCGAGTTACACAGGAACACGAGACACTTCATGCCCTTGGACTCGCGCGAGTAGGCCACTATGCACACAGAGTTCGCATGCTCAATGGCAGAATGCGAGCCACAGTAGAATACACGATAAATGGGTATGTTGCTGATCATCTGTAGCTCGCGATTCGCGCCCTTGGGGGCCTGCAGAACCACTAAATGCGTGTCGGAGATGATGAGCGACAAACGACGATACGGCGGATGCACGGTGTCCAGGAGTCGCTGTATGACCACCTCACTATCCTTGAACACTTCCGTGGGCTCCTTGCCCATATTCTCGAAGCCCACATAGTCGACGCTAAACGAGAGACCGCTCTTCAGAGGGTCCTGGGCTTCGGCCATCGCTCCGGGCCCGTAGCCTCCTCCGCGCCGGAATATCTTGGACAGAAACGACATTCTGCCTCCGCTGCTGCAGCCACTCCAGCGGCGCCCTCGAGATCTTGTAGCACTTCGTGGTAGCCTCGCTGACTCGGCTTCAGCAAACAACGAGGGCCGGTATCCAATGCGAGCGCAATCTTATAAACCTTGGTTGAACACAAAACCTCACGACTGCAGTCCGAAAGAGCAAAACCCGTCCCTGCCGTGGCAGACACGGGAAGATTCAATCGATAAGAGTTCTAAGCCAGCACACACAACGACTTACGTCGATCGGCTTGCAGCTAGCTTGGTAAGCTGTCGCTCGAATGGCTTCTTCCAACAAATGAAACAGAAATGAAGTATTTCTTGCCAGCGCACCTTCGAATACTTGCACGAAATCCGGCGTAAGAGTCAGATACCGGGTTTGTAGGCATGCTATCCCGAGCGTTAGAAGGCGACCAATACTTGATGTGGTGACTGGTGGGGTTGACCACCAAACTAACATGGCTAGCGCATCCCCGGGGGCCACATGCACAGAGTTCTACAGTAGCCTTTGTACTTGTAGGTGTAGGTAAAGAGGATCTAGGAATAGGACCGAGGCCGAGTGGAGTACCCACGCGCACAAGCCATGCCACAGGCATAGGCTATCCCGGCGTGGGCATAGTGTTGCAGCTGAACATTACCACACCGGCAGACAAATGTTATCATCATTGATCGACCATGTCCACATTCCACAGCCTCGGTCGATCAGAACCCAAGGACAGAACGGGACAAACTCGAACGGTCGCCATGACCATAGTGAGGGGAGAAGCTCATGCGGCCGGCGTGGTCATCTTGCTACTGACAGATTGACAAGCAATGTCACTTGTCCGTGAGAAGTGCCGTGTGCAGTCTGAGTAGTTGCGAACTTCGGACTTGCCAACGGACCAGGCTGCAGTACTACACTCTACAGTCAGTATTATTGTCATGATGTACAGTGTAGTCCACTACTAGACGGCTCCCACTTCTGGTACGTGTACCCGCTTGTTATTACTTTTTGTGCCAATACTACATTGTAGTGCAGCATGGTGTGGGGATAGGGGAAGTCCGGTGAAAAATTTAAATTTCAGGGTCGGTAGAGTTTCGGCCGCTGAGTCGAATGGTGTTGGTCCCACGTGTCTCCGGCAAAGCGTTCTCGAGATATTTCCGTTTGAAAAACTGAGTTTCGGGGGCTGCGCCATGACGTCATGCGGCCGCGCCACACCCTCTGCAACGTCATAGCGTGCAGCTAGGTCAAAAGGAGTGCGTGAAAGCAATAGTGTCAGTGCTATTTCAAATGATTTGGCGACTGATAGTTTGGTGCAAGCGACCCCGAAGACCTGTAACTCCTTGTGAGAGTGAGGATGCAGCCATGGCTGACCTTCATGAGTTCGGTCTGGGGCTGAGAACCTCGGTATTCAGCTGAAGAAATGGCCACGCGGGCCGGTCAAGAGTGAGCGCTACTGAGTTTCCGACTGATGAAGAAGCAGCAGCTATTGCAGACGAGGCTGATCAGATCGCTGGAGAGCAGGGTCGCCAAAATGGAGAAGAGTGATGCGAGTGCTCTAAATGTTGTTCCATACCGATTAGATTCGCTTAGACTCCAGGAGCCTGCCACATGGTGATGTTTTGGTGCGAACTTGGAATATTTCGGACTACTCAATTGGAGAACAGTGCAGGCTCTTTGAACCACGGGCACGACTCTTCGCTCGCAACGCTATGGAATCTGAAAGTTCTAGGTCCGGGAGCTGTTCGCTGTTTTGTCACTTGTCACGGTTAACCGGTTGTGCACTCATCGCTGTAACATAAAAATAATGAGGCGGGTGCGGAAAACTAATATTTTCTTTCTCAAAGCACAACCACCGGCAAGGAGAAACGCACGTTCTCTGACTACATGACTGTACAATACGACTGATACGAGTGTAGTACATGTACATGACAAGTCCGTGTGTTGACAAGTTTTCTGAGTCTTGTGTCAGTTGTGACTCGAGTCTTGTACAATCATACAATCATACTACCCCAGCACGGCAGTGCGGGAGTAGTTCCTCTGCTCTGTGCATGTGATGAGTTTGTTGACTGCACTACACTCTACAGCTAGATAACACACTGCACGCACTGCATGCACGCAGCGCAGAGCGCGTAGAGCTAGAGGCTGACGGAAAAGTCCAACTCGGAAACGGCTATAATACGGTATAACCTCCAGGTTTACCGAGCTGAAAATTACAGGGTACGTAGTGTTTGTAACACTGAATCGAATGGTCTTGGTCCGAAGAAGCTGCGACAAACGGTTCCCCAATCGAACGCGCTCCGAATATGGCCATTTTTGTACACAACTAGATGGTGTGGCTACCTGACTGCACGCTGTGACGTCATCACCTGGATCTGGGTGATGCGGGCTTAAATTCGCACATGTTCGATTGGGCGTATCTGACGAACCATAAGCCGCAGCCTCCTCGGACAAAGACCATTCGACTCAGCGACCCGAACTCTACGGACAGTGAAATTTAAATTTTTCACCGGACTTCCCCTTTGGGGAAGTGCATCGATTTTTCAAGTAGGGCGCAGATGAAAGACAATTGGATATCGGTTCCGATGGTATATCTCTCGCTTGCGTACGGCAAGGGAAACTTGCCATATCGCCAATTTCCTGATCCCGTTTCCATGGCGACTACTGGTGATGACGCACATTCTGCTTAGCTCCGTGAGAGAGAAGGTCGATCACTGAAGAATTGTGTCATTTTCAGTTGTCTTCTTCTATTCACGAAGTGAAAGAAGTACCGTGTTCAAGGCTGTTAGTGCCGTGAACTGTTTATTAGTAGTCCTCTCCGTTGTGTACTGGGACGTGACACCGACAGGGGAAAGCTGGAGTGCGGAGACGTTAGCTGGCAAGCGAAAATCGTGACGAACCAAGTGCTGAAATCTTGGTTGGGAAAAATCAAACGTTCAGCATTTACCTCAACCAAGGACCATGCCATTTGCTCTTTCCACTTCCTGAAGATGGATGCGCTGCCTGCTGGAGACTCTCCTATCTCTCGTAACATCTTCTGAAGCCAGGTGAGACGACGAGTAGCGGAGATTAGCGAACGAAATAATGTCGTATTTGAAATTTTTGCTGAACATGTCTCAGGAGAGATGGCATGTATGAACTTAGTCCATGTGAACTCAATCAGCCCATGAACTAACCCAGGAACAAATGCTTTCCTTGCAGACGTGCATGTGTCTATCCAATCTACACGTAGAGATCATTCCATGCCCTCAGTGAATGGCCTATTTATATAATTATTTGTCCATACACTTCATCTGCATGTTGTCTCTATGGAGAAGGGTATTGTTCATTTCATATGAAGAAGTATGTGTAGGGCTCCCTGATCGGAACCGATATCCAATTGTCTTTCATCTGAGCCCTACTTGAAAAATCGATGCACTTCCCCTTTAAACGTTACCGGGTTTTAGCGGCCGTCGTGAGTTCCCTTCAACGGACACGATAGTTTACTCTCTTTTTTATGGTGTGGGGATAGTATGTCATTGTGGCATGCACAAACACTAGGGAGGCATATACATGTACATGTACATGTACATGGTGTTAAGCGGGATTCACAGAAGCTTTTTTGCGATGCGACACGCGATGCGACGCGATCTGCGATGGATGCGTGCGATGCGAACTCGCGAAATACCATTCACAGAAGAAGTCAACGATGCGACAAAGTTTTGCTGATTTGGGTACGTCACCATGATATTCGCGCGGTTTGACACAACTTGTAAAAATTTATAGGCAACTCTTGCACCTTTGTACAACTTTGCTGTAGAAAAGGTCAAAATCGTACACCAAATCGCTTGTCGCATCGCATCGCATCGCAAAAGTTGAGCCAAGCTCAACTTACTTCTGCGATGGCCTGCGATGGCCCAGTTGCGGCAGTTGCGTGGGTTGCGACATGGGTGCGATTTGGGGTTTTCCCGGTTTCGCGTCTGTCGCATCGCGTGTCGCATCGCAAAAAAGCTTCTGTGAATCCCGCTTTTTCACATATGCTGCTAATGCATAATGATTCTGTGCAAAATAACAAGGGAATTGTTTGTACATTGTAGAGGGCGTTGTACTGTAGTAGCAAAAGTTCAATGGGGTCAACGACTCAACGCACAGGCCGACCGAGCTACGACCATCACCAGATCACTGATTGTAGTGGACTGGACATGTTATCAAGGGAGTCGTAAACCTACAACTTCCTAGTGCACCTACTTGTACTTGTACTTGTAGAACATGTACAACTGTATGGAATTTGATGCGAACAGGCGGATTATTACAATTTTATGCGATTCGTATGCAATTTGCCTCGAATTATGCGATTATTCGATTTTGGTAGGAATTATGCGAAAAATTATGCTAGCATAATCCGTCAAGGCCTAGTTATTTGATTGATTTTTTTGATTGATTTTTATTTCACGGATCCTCCAGAGGCAAATAGATGCCTATCGAAGTGAGTCTCCTAAGTAAGTATGGAAAATGAGAAAGTATGTTCATAGGGGAGAAGAGGTAGAAGATACAATGTCATTAGAATGTAGACTTTTGTACAAAGAAGTAAATTCAGTACTTCGGGTAGTACATTGCATGCTAATCATAATGAGAATTAGAAAAGCAGCATTGCGGACTACTATAACTGACATAATATACACAAACTATTGAAACTATCATAGATGTGGTTAGCCTAGACACAAAAGTCAGGAATACCTTTCAAAGAAAACATAGATTGCGAATGATACCGACGAACAGCAATACTAAATTTCGCTGTTGTAGAGAGTGAACGAATATCTTCAGGAAGTTTATTCCAAGCAACACTCAAAGAAAAAAGGGTTGATTTACGAAAGTAGGTGCCAGCTTTAGGAACTTGAGAGAATTATGGATGAGGGGTGACGACTGCTTTGGGAAGAGGGTAGCTGGAAGTGAGACAACAAGGAGGGGTATTGGGGGAATACATGGTGGAAATAGACAAGGCCAAGAATCTGCCGTCGCCATGCTAAAGATTCCC